AAATTTATAATTCAAATCGCATTTATCATTTATTTTTAGATATAAATATAATTCGATGAAATAATTAACAATATCTAATCAATTTAATTTTTTACCAATATATTTTATTCGATATATTTTAAAAAATAAATAATTTAAATTATCAAAAAAAAAAATCTCAAAGTAAGTCTATATAATCGCACAATAATAATTGCTGTGCAAGAAGGACAATAATCACCTCATTTCCATTTTTATATAGCACACCAGTGACTCTGATTTTCCTTTTTATATAGGCTCCACCGAAACGAATTATTAGCATTAATCTTCAATATTACTTCTTCAAGAGAATCATTGTACGTTCAAACAGTACTCTTCCCCACAAACATTATTATCAGCATTGATCCCCTACATTCATATAGCACTTTTTGAAGCATACATGAAGAATCATTTGTACATTCAAATAGTATCCTTATTTTTTCCACCCAACCTAATTATTACCATTCATCTTTCCCATATTGATGCTTGGTTTGACAAATTTCCTTTAATAATTGTATATTTTTTTAGTTTAAAAATAAAGTTATTTATAAGCTGTTTATTGACAATCACATCATCTCCATTTTTTTTAAATATATTTTTTCATAATAAATAAAAAAAATTAAAAAAAAAGTCATATCCAAAACAACCTTAAAATTATACATATATATATTGTTTCTTAAATATTTAAAAGTATTTTTTTATTTATTTATAGCAAAGATGAAGTAATCTTTGAATATATTATTAAAGAAAAATACACTATTACTTCCTTTGTTTAATTTGAGTTTTATAATTTCAGTTATAACTCATTTGAGAAGATATGATTTTTCTTTATTTTTTTGTTTAGTTTCTTTTTCAAAAGATAATATTCACTTGAGACAAAAATACGATAATATATAATAATTTTTTGGATAAACTACCAATAAGTCTTAATAGTTAGATTTAATTTTCATAAAATCGTATTGAAAATAAATTTTAGTAAAATCGTTGCTAAAAATAATTTTTTGTGACGATTTTTTACATGTTTATAAAAATTGACAATTAGTGACTTTTGTCACGATTTTTATAAATTGTAACTAAAACTTACAATTAGTAACTTTTTTTGTGACGAATTTTTTAAACTGTTGTTAAAAGTTAAAAATTAGTGACGTTTTTTGTGATGATTTTTTAAACTGTCGCCAAAACTTAAAATCAGTGACATTTTTCATGACAAAATTTTTAAATTGTTGTTAAAAATTAATAATTAGTAATGTTTTTTAATAGTGTTTAATAAAAAATATCATTAGTTATCATATGACCTATTGAATAATAAATTCACCTATTAGAACCTAGACATAAGTCTCTTTAATTTTTTAAGGGTTGGGTTTCAATTTGAGGGGTTTGCAGGGTTCACAACGAGTTTTATTTTGATAATTTAAATCGTTCATTTTGTTGAACTCCCCGTGTCTATCATTCACGAAAAAAATTAAAATCGATCCGATAATCGTAACTTTTCATTTTATTGCATTTTTCTCAAATTTTTTTTTTTTTTAAACACAAGTTTTTTTTTTCCCCCAAATTGAAACATGATAAAATAAAAAAAATTATAATTATCGGATCGATCGGATCTTTTTAATGGATGATATAAACTAAGGACTTTACAAAATGAAAGATTCGAATAATCAAAATGAGACTCGTGGTAAGCCCTACTAACTGCTATTTTTGTTGACATTTTATAAAAAGATGTGTAAAAAAATAGAGAGAATAATTGATTTTTTTATAGTAGTTTTTTGACTTTTTAATTATTTTAAGCTTGTTTTGAGTATAACTTATTTGTTGACATTTTTTTCTTAGGTGAATTACACTAATGGTCCCTATAGTTTGGGTCTTATGTCATTTTGGTAATTGACTTTTCAATTGTGACACATTTGACCTTGAATTTTGAATCTTATTCCAAATAAGGACAATTGTAAATACTATTGGATTTTTCAAGGGCAAAATGGTCAATTTGATAAAATATAAATTAATTTGATAAAAATAAATGTCAAAAAATTATTTTTAAATTTTTAAAAATTATTTCTACCTACTAAAGATAAAATTATATAAAATTGATAAATCTTTTAGACGTTTATTTATTTATTTTACCAAATTAATTTTTATTATGTATTTAGATGATGATCATGTAAAATTAATCATGTAATTTTTATTAATTTTTATCAATTTTACATAATTTTATTTTTGGTGGGTAGAAATAATTTTTAAAAATTTTTAAAATATTTTTTGGACATTTATTTTTGGCAAATTAGTTTATATTTTACCAAATTAACGATTTTGCCCTTGAAATTAAGCAATGGTATGTTCAATTGTACTTATTTGGAACAAGATTCAAAATTCAGGGTCAAATGTGTCACAATTGAAAAGTCAGGGACTAAAGTGACACAAGTCCCAAATTATAGGGACTAATAGTGTAATTTGCTCTTTTTTCTTATTATAAAAAGATGAGTAAAAAAGTAGAGAAATGATGTGACCAAAATAGGTCAATAAACTACTTAATTGATTGCCAAAATAACTCTCAATCTATCTTTTAGATGGGGCGATTCTACTTACACCAATACTTTACCTCTCAATCTATCTTCTTCTTCTTCTTCTTCTTTTTTTTTTTTTTTTTTTTTTTTTTTTTTTGTGAAATTACCTTTAAGAACAAAACACCAAAATTAAATATATTTTGTTATCTCCTTATACCTCTTGGTCTTCAATCCCTGCTCATTTTTTTCATTTCTTAATTTTTCTTTTCTCTTACACATTTCTTTTCAAAAAGTGAGAATCATAATATTTGATTAGTAAAGAAAGCAATGGATGACGAAATGGTGGTGAAAAACCATAAAAAAAGTGAAAATGGTGAGTTTTTATTTATTTATTTGGTAGGTTTTTGTTTCGTTTTTTTGGACTGGTGTTTGTCTTTTGTGCGGTGGTTTGAAATCGAATAAAATAAAATAGTCCGGTATCACATTGTTGAAGAAAAATATAAGTCTGGTAACCAACTACCGAATAAAAGATACATTTTTGGTAACCCCCAAACCGATTTTTTTTAATTTGTTCAACTTCTCATTACCATGTTTTTTTAGTTTTATTTTTTTATATTCTTTATTTTTTTGACTGAAAGAATTATACTTATACTCATTGCAACAACGTAGGTACTGCAACATTAGTAGACTCTAGTTATGAATTCATTACAGACAAGGTTTGTTAATTTTTTTTTTTTTTATGAATACAATTTTTTTCTTATTTTTAATTTGTATTGAGTTTTATTAATAATTTGACATATATCATTAGTTTTTTAGTAGTCGTGAAGTATTAATTAAATGAGTTTTTGACATTGGGAAGGAGATTGGATTTGTCATTATTATAAAGACATCAGATGCGGGAGGTAATTGCAGAAAATCAAGACTTACACTTGCTTGTAAAAGAAGTGGTTACTGTAGAGACAACATAAAGATCAAGGAGGGAACGATTGAGGTTGACGGATTCTAAAAAGTGTGGATGTCTATTTCTATTAAGGGGAAAAATACCTACAAATTATCAAGACGAATTGTAATAACATGTTTGATTGATGGATGCAAATAATGACAAATTTTATGAATACTTTATGGATATTCGTACACTTGATATTTTCATAAATAATTTTATGGATACTTTTTATGCATGATTTTATAGAGGTGTGTTTGATTTATGAATTTTTTAGTGGATATTTCAAGAAAAAAGTGCATTTTTCAATGTACAGCGACGGTGGCCTAGACAACTCTATTGTAATTTGGCAACATAACACTACAGTAATCCCATTTGTATAACAATATATCACTAAACATGCACTTCACAAATGACCCAAATTAATTTCTTGTTATCATCTAATTGGACAACAACATAATGTTGGGAAAAAAAATATTGTCCGATAACATGGCACTGGAGTAATTCAAATTAATTAGAGTTGTATTACCGAACAGGCCCACCACAAATTAAAAAATCATTGTTTGGAAGAAAGTGTTTCTGTAAATGTATAGTAACAAAATGCTGAAGAGATCTATTTTTTTCGGTAACATAACACTGGAATAATGAAAATTATTTAGCACCGTGTTACCAAAATTAGTGATGCAAAGAGATGAAATAGTTAATTTAGGGTTAGTTTTGATAATATATTGGGGGTGTAATGAGAATTACATTTTTTTTAGTGGTGTAATGAGTGGAGGGTGTAAAGAGGTTAAATAGTGGTGTAAGTAGAATCACCATTTTAGATATAGGTAAATTACAAATACACCTCTTAAGATTTGATTAAAATACGAATCGCCCTATGTGGTTCTAGAAATTACATTCCACAACCTGAGATTTCTAATATCATAATAATTGTCATTTTATTAATGAATTATCAAGTTAATTAACCATTTTAATGATATTAAAAATATGTTTCAATTAATAATTTAGGTAATTTTATTATTGTATAGGAGATCAATTATGAATTTTATTTTTTTAGTTAATTCTGTTAAATAAAGAATTATAATAAGAGAGTATTTATAATTTTTTAAATCACATAGAATAATTTGTACTTTCCATAAATATCAGAATTTACTTTTTTAGATAATTAGGGAGAAAAGTGTGGATTTTTTGGGGCAGAGGATGGGAATATGAGACCCTTTAATAAATTATTATTTATTTATATGTATTTTATGTTTTATTTTGTATTAATACGATTTTTTGAACACTATTTTGTATTAATATAAATACGATGAATCAAGGAAGGAAAAAAAAAGAGCATACCCATGTCATATACTTCCTCAGCAGATGACCCAAATACACACATCAACAGTCAAATACTAAAAAAAAATAAATAAATTCACATTTTATTTTTGACCCATTTTCAAATCCTTGGGTTTGATTCACTTTCAAGGCAGTGTCCGATCACATGCATACAATATCATGACCCAGTTCAGTTCATCCCATATTCCACACATCACACGGCTCGGATTATTCAATCATGTAATGTGTTCCACTCAAACCCCAATTATACCCCAGTAGGACCCACCAATAATTGGTATGAATGTTCATACGGAAGCTTTGCCAAACCTTAGAAAAAGTGGAGTTGGGGGGTGTGTGCGAAGTGTGAAGTGAGGCAAATGTTGCAGAGTGGGAAGGACTGTGTTTTCTTACCATCTCAGGAATCAAAGAATTTCTTGGTAGGAGAGGAAGGTGAAAGTGTTTCTGGGTTTTCCTTGGATTTTCTTCTTCTATTAGAAAAAAGGGGTAAGATTGAAACCACCCACCAAATTTGCATATGATTTTGCCTCTTTTTTATATGTGCTTGTTATATTTTATTGGAATCTTACACTTGAATTGCTTGATTTCATCTGGGTTCTTTTGAGTTATGGATATGACATCAGTATAAAGTTTAATCTTTTGATTTGCTGTTTATGGAAAATTTGGGATTTTCTTGGGATTTGTTTTCCTACATTTCCCTTGAAAATGCTTGATTTGTGTGTCTTTGTGAGGATATATGTGAAATTGTGAAAAAAGGAGATTTTTTTTTATAAATTTTTTCCTTAGTTCGTTAACAGGTTTACTGAATTCTCATTCTCATTCTCATTCTCATTCTCATTTTCCTTTTTTTTTTTTGCGCTTAAATGGGAGTATTTTATTTTATTTTCTGTTATGTTTTATGCATTTGTGGTTCTTTGGATGCTGGATTGATGTATATAATGTGGAAATGTTGATGTTGATTAGTATTCAATTCACTTCCATGAAGTTTTTACCTGGGGGATTTTGCTGAAATTAATGTTGCATAATCAAGGAGATAACTAGATAGAAATGGAGTTTTAATTGGTAAAATAGTATGTACTCTAGACACAAACTTTTAAGGAAAAGTCACCAACTACCATGGTAGAAGCAGATGCTTGTGGATAAATGAAAGAAATCAATATATTTGAAGAAATATGAAGGGAGGAGAGGCAGGTTAGTCGCAAAAAGATGGGGCGATTGGGGAAAAAAAAAGGTAGGCATTGTTTGTTGTGTGAAGATATCAATTTAAGTGACGTCTCAAAGAACCCGTCTAATACCCATTTCATTGTTTGGTTTGGTTTGGTTTGCTTTGCTTTCAACCCGTTTCATACTTATCTTAGTTGTCATGTTGGGTTGTAATCCTTAAACTATACTCCCTCCATCTCAAATTATTTGTCTATTTTCGGTATTTGTGCCCTTTAATCGGGTCAATAAATAATGTATTTTTGTAACAATTTTTTTTCCCCCCCTTCACAAATTAAAAGATCTCAACTAGTTCTTATAGATGAAGTCTTCAAAATCATTGAAAAAGAAACAAGTTATGAAATATAGACAATTTTTTGAGATATGTGAAATAGTGAAAATGGACAAACAATTTGGTACGAAGGGAGTATAAGGTTTTTTGCCTGTCATCAAGGCATTGAACCTTGGATTCAACGGTGACGGCAATATTGCATCATACACAATAATATAATCATTATTTTGTTACTGAATGCGCCCAAAACTCAATTAATAAAGCTATGTATAACAAAACATTGTTAAAAATATTTAATATTGTGATATATTTCATATCATTTAATATATAGGATTCACCTAATTTTGTGTTTTTTTCATGATTATCCAAATTGTATGGAACAACGGTATAATGGAAGATTTAACTCTCGTAATTAATGCTATTTGCCACCTCACTCCCCCAAAAAAGTTGACTATTCTCTATTTTGTAGGCTTCATTTATCTTCAAATCTGCACATATAAAAACATGAAAACTTACTCGGAATAACTAATTTTACTTTGACAGTAACCTTTATTCTATTATAGAAGTTTGTTTATCAATTATTTATGAGGTCTTTTTTAAAATTTCATTATGTTGTTAAGCGAAATAATTACTATTCTGATAAGTATATTAATTGCTTGAAATCTAAAGTTTTTTCTCAAGATATTAAACCAATGCACAAGACAAATAAGCCAACAAAGATAAGATATAAGACACACTAAATAATGGGTAGAAGCTCTGAAGCATCCTAACCACAAACTATGGGACTATTTGGTGTAGCTTATCTAAGTTGCTTAAAGCTTGTTTTATTCTAAAAGTCTGTGCTAGACTGCTTGATGCAACTTCTGTTTACAACTTATTATAGCTTAAATAAGCTAATTATTTAAAAGTTGGAGGAGGTGTGCTTTTGGTTTTTACTTCATTGATTATTAACTTTTAGCTTTTGCACCAAACAAGCCCTATGTATTTTATATGACATTTTTGTTGATATATTCTAGTCAAACTTTCACATGATCCTATAGTAATATTTAAATCTCGGTTGTTCCTTTATAAACTAAGTGGCGCAAAGTTTTCATACTTCACACATCACGGTATATTTGTTGATGTTTATTCCATGGGCAGGGCCCATTAATTGTGACTTACAGTTCTCAACATCATTGTTACGATTCATGTACTTATTTTTATTTTTTTCCCTTTGGTGCTACTTGTATTGCCAAATCATTATATCTGTTGCTGAGTGAAAATTCCAACAGATTTATTATACTCCCTTTAGTCTTTATGTTTCAGAGTTCTGACATTTATCTCATTAAATCTCATCATTCAAATTAGAACCTCAATTCATAACTATTCTATAGCAGCATAAGTTAAATAGATTATCTAACATGGACAAATATACCATTATGCAATCATAACTCTTTGTGGCGGTATAACAAATATGATGATCTATGCACTTGCCTTAAGCATAGAGATACGTGACAATTGAAACATATCTTGGGTGGGGTGGGGTGGGAGTAGAGAAATGATGTGACCAAAATAGGTCAATAAACTACTTAATTGATTGCCAAAATAACTCTCAATCTATCTTTTAGATGGGGCGATTCTACTTACACCAATACTTTACCTCTCAATCTATCTTCTTCTTCTTCTTCTTCTTCTTCTTTCTTTCTTTTTTTTTTTTTTTTTTTTTAAATTACCTTCCCCTAACAAAGTCCTCAAATCGCAACATGCCTCCAAGAGCCATCGCATGCGTGCGTGGATGGTATGTGGCAGGGTCAAAAGGCCTCACCCTCAACAGTAGTAACTCAGGCTCAAGCTCTATAGGGTAGATCTCCTCTACAGCAATATCGGCTGTAATGTCATTTGCCGCTCTGTATGTAATCAAATAGTTGTTACCGTTGTTGCCAGAATATTACTGCCAAAAGGGTTTTCATACACTGTTTAGTCCTAAAAGTTTTCTTATAGACTGAAAGGTCCCATTACAATGTTTCAAACATTAGATTAATGTTTCGAACATTAGGTTTCGAACATCAGATTAATGTTTCAAACATTAGATTGATGTGCAAATGGGACTAAATGGAGCATAAGAAAACTTTTAGGACTAAATGGTTCAACTTTTCAAAAATTAGGACTTATGGGTAAATTTTCCTATAATAAATAAAATAAATCATCCAATTATTTAAAAGAAATCTAATTAAATCATATATAATAAAAAAATTATAAAATAAAATATCTAATTTTTCTTTTTATTTATTTTAACATATTTTATTATTCCTTATTCCTTATATTTTTTTATTTATAATATATATATCAATTAAAAATAAAAAATAAATTAATAATAACACATTATTTAAAAAATATAATAAATAAATAAAAATAAAAATATTTATAAAAAATTAAAAAAATTGTCGTGTCCCCTGCTGTGTTCGTGTCCATGTCCTCATTTTTTAGAAATTACCGTGTCCGTATGCGTGTCCGTGTCCATACTTCATAGGTCCAAACTGAAAACAAATCCTGACCACAATTACTGGGGTTTCAGGCTATTAAAAGTTGACATTTACTTGCGCTCCATTGTGTAATTTAAGAGAATACAAAGCTTGGGTGATGATTATGATATTATCACATTTTATATTAATCAATCAACTATTACAAAAGGCAGCCCACTAATTAAGGAATCACAATCAATCAATCAATCACAATCTAATCTAAATAAGGGAACAAGGAAATATTCTAACGCTCCCCCTCAAGCTAGTGCTAAGATGCCTCTCATGCCCAGTTTGCCTAGAATGTTATGAAATGGTTTACTCTTAACTCCCTTAGTGAGGATGTTTGCAAGTTGTTCGCCGACTTCACAAAAGGAGTACATATCACATTGCTGGTGAGTTTCTTCTTAATGAAGTAGCGATCAATTTCAATATGTTTTGTCCTGTCATGTTGAATAGGATTGTGAGCTATGTTGATAACAGCCTTATTATCACAATATAGCCACAAAGAGTTTGTCTGGCCCATCCCCAGATCACTTAACAACAGTCTAATCCACAAGAGTTCACACACACCTTGTGCCATAATTTTAAACTCAGTTTTTGCACTCGATCTAGCCACCACATCATGTTTCTTACTCCTCTAAGTAAGTTTTCCACCCACAAAGGTACAATATCTTGATGTAGATCTCTTAGCAATTATTAACCCTGCCCAATTAGCATTTGTATAGGCTTCCACTCTGAGGAGATCATGTTTAGAAAAGTAAAGACCCTTTCTAGGAGAAGATTTCAAGTACCTCAGAATTCTCATAACAGCCTCTAAGTGAATTTGATGAGGAGCATGCATAAACTGGCTAACCACACTGCCAGCAGTATATGAGAGTGAAATAAGTAAATGAGCTTACCCACTAGTTGCTGATAACTCCTCCTATCAACAGCTGTTTCTCCTTCATCATCACCAAGTTTCTGATTAGCTTCCATTGTGGTATCAGAGCTAAAACCCTAAAAACCATCACCCACACACCAACTAGCCATTACCTATTACCACCCATCCTCTACCGTTGGTTCCTAAGTCTCTGTCGGAACCAGCTAAGGTCCCACAAAGCTATTTTGGCTTCAGCCGAAGGCCCCTCTAGCCTAGCTGAAGCTTCCTCTGGCCTAGCTGAAGAATAGCCAAAGTCAGTAGAAGGGCTTTCTGCCCTAGTCGACCCTTGTGAGGGATGTTCTAGCCTCTCTTTGATACAATGTAATTTAAGAGAATACAAAGCTTAGGTGATGATTATGATATCATCACCTTTTATATTAATCAATCAACTGTTACAAAAGGAAGCCCTAAGGCACTGATTAAGGAATCACAATCAATCAATCAATCAATCACAATCTAATTTAAATAAGGAAATATTTTAACACATTGTAACCCATTTTAAAGAGATGGGGAAAGAAGATAACAACCAGTTGTAGAATTTGCTGACAAATGTCTGTATGGTACTTTTTTAAGTATCACTTTCTTAAAATAGTCAACCCCAAACAAATAGTCTAGTATGCTTTATTGACTTGATTGAGTGGAATTGATCTAATTGCTTCCCATAGAGACAACTTAGAGGGATCCGAACAAATTCACTATTTTGATCAAAATGACAACTCTTAACAAAAATTTTGTGGGTAAAACCAATTCACGTGGATATGTCTCCAATTCAAATCAGATTTTTTCCATACTTTCGAAAATTGTCTAAAGTTGGACCTGTTATTTTTATTTTTTAATGATTCATCTTTCCATACAAATCATTAGATATTGAGAAGGTTGTTTTTCACCAACTTCGTATTCAAAACGTTTCTCATGCCAAATTGCTTCTTATTTGGTTAACCAAATTCATGGGTGCAGTCAGTGTATTTGAAACAATGTTCATGAGCCTGTGAAATTCTATATAGTTTTGTTTCAGAGCTCTGGAGTTTGCAGCTACTGCTAGTATAAGTTTTATAGTTGGATGAACTTTCTGAACGGGAAGCTCTCTAATGCATACTAGGAGAATCTGGCACTTTTCAGGTTATGTGGGTTTGCCTTGTAGAGTGAATAATGCTCATACCTGTGCATGCCTTCTTTGCTCTAGGCCATATCCCTCTTATTTGCTACCTTAGCTACTGCATTCTGAAGTGAGACATTGGAGTTTATGTTAAATGGTGTCACTATTCTATGTTTGTCTATAAGGACTATTAATTCAGAACATGCTTTATAGTGAAAAAAATCAGTGCTTCAGCCCGCTCTATTATGATTTTGGTCCTAATTCCTAATACTGTTGTTCTTTTCATGCTTTCTACACATTTATTTGTCTTAATTGTACTTTGGCTCACCTTTTGCTTTTCAAGTGGAAGACAGCCTTTATTTTCTCAGCTAGAAGGTGAATAACTCTGTCGTTATGCAAGGGAAACATACATGCCGCAATGGCTGTGGATTTTGCAATTCTTATTATACTGGTGGTATTTGGGAAGTGTTTTTTTTTTTTTTTTTTGCTAAAAAAATACTAAAAGACAAAATTGGTTAAAAAACCAAAAAAACAAATCCAGACAAAATGTCACATCAAACCCATAATCATTTCACTTTCTCTCACAAATATCACATCGAACTACAAAAAAACCCAACTGTCTTCCCAAATACAAAAATTTTAACCTCCTAAAATAATCAAAAACTAAAAAAACCTACTAAAATAACAACTTCCCAAACACCCACACTATGAATAGTATTTTTTAACTGTAGCTATCTTATTTCTGCTAAAGTATGTGTAACGAGAGGTTTTAATGCCTGAGCATAATGCAGGATGAGAATTATGTTTCTGCAACAAAGAAAAATAAAATAAAATTAATGGTAATTATTCGTTCTTTCAGTGCTTGACATATCTCGTGAAAAATGTGGAACAGTAAATTCAAGTGGCTTGAACGGCAAAGCTTGATTCATGTTGTGAGATATGTTAGTCCACTTGGATATGTGTTAGCTAGAGGAGTAAGCCTCTGGGAAGCAGTAGGAAATTGGACATGAGTATGCTGGCGGGGACATGCTTGAGCCAAGAGAAACTCATCTACCTGCCCTTTTGCTGGTCTTGGTTGTGTTACCCCTGGTAATTTACATTTTTCTAGGAAAATGGAGTGAGGAAACAAAGAAGAAAGAGAGGATAATTTTTCTTGCTCAATCAGCTGCTCGAGAAGCTCTTAGAGCAGAAGCCATGGGTGCTGCTACTGTTATCCCTCTCGTACATGCTTCAAAGAATGGAATTCACGAGTGTGCCAGATGCTCTGGTCCAGCTACTACACGCTGTTCGCGATGCAAGGCTGTCCGCTACTGGTATGATCAAACCCTGATTTTTGGACGCAAGATCATGTTGGTTGGTCTTATTTTTGCAATTTCGTCTTAAATGTTTGCTAATGGCAGAGCATGATTAATTCTGTTATTTGAACTTGAACAATTGCATATAAAACTTTTATTTTACCAAAATAGTAAAAAAAATTTGTGTGTGTGTGCATGTGCACTCGCTAGTTGTTCTTCATGCTCATATACTCAGTTGTTCTAAAACTTATTCACTAATAAGTTTGACATTAAAAAGAGATTAAAGAAGAGAATGTGTGCGAGACATGTTCTCAGCTTTGCACACAAATGGTATGCAATTGGTGCAACATGACCTGGATGTTTTCTAAGTTCATTAACTTTTCAAGCTCATAATATGATGCAGTTCTGGGGAGTGTCAGATAATTCATTGGAGGCAAGGTCACAAGCATGAGTGTCAGCAACTGGAAACCAACAGCCGTATCTCATCTCCTGTGGCTGCTTATACCTCAATTGATACCATTGGAGTCCCCATAATGGAGAGAAGATCTATAGAAAAGAGAGTTTCTAGTAAATCTAAGTTAAGAAAAGAGGATGGAGCTGTATTAGATTCTATAGAAGGAGCCTCCAGGAAAGAGGTGCATATGAAACACACAGTTCTTATCCATTCGTAGTTTTTATAGTATGTATTGGTTGTTCATTATTTATAATTAGATTTCTGATAATTCGTACTTGTTGGCTGCAGTTTAAAAATTTTGATTCTGTGCTCTCGGAAGAAGAAATTCCCAGAAAGAACAATGTCAACATCTCTGGTGGATTTATTAATGGTCATCCTAGTTCAAGAAGCACAATGCATGAAAGTCATGATTTACAAAGTCAACATGTACTTGATTCAAGAACTAATTTTGGCATCTCAGACTCGTTAAGTTCAACAAAGCCCGAGACAATTGTGTGTGACGTTGAAAGAGACTTCATGTTAGGTAAAGAAAGCTTTCTTAGGGAGGGAATTAATTCTAATAATGAAACAGTAGAGTCGAACCACTCTTCTGAAACGACCTCAATGAAGAGAAGCATTAAAGCTAAACGTGTATCACATCCTCCTGGAACAAAAATGCATAAATCACAGAAATCAACGATGAAGATGTCAAGAGAGCAACCGTGTTCAGAAATGGAAAAGAAGGAACAAATTGCGAATGAGTCAAGTTGGTTCGTGACTTATTATCCTTAATTGAAACTGCAGTTGGTTCCTTCCTTTGATTTTTTTAGTTGTGATGCAGAAGTTGCTGGAATAAGGGATACCATTCCTCAACAAGGAAGCAATAAGGATGCAAGCATGGGACTCCTGAAGATGATTGGTCTGAGGAAGTCATTGAAGCTTGGTAGACAGGAAAATTCAGAAGTTGGTGAAAGGCATAAGAAATTAAAGGTCAGTTTTCAGTTACTTGCACCCCTCTTTGTTTGATTAAATTTCTTGAATTATCTTATTTGATTTTTGGCCTTGAGATATAAATGGAAGCTCTTCTTGATGGTCTTCTATTTGAATTCTCAGATGCTATTCCCTTATGAAGAATTTGTGAAGCTTTTTCAATATAAAGTGTATGACTTATCTCCTAGAGGTCTTATGAATTGTGGGAATAGGTATTTAAGTTTTGGTTATTTATTTTCCTCTATTGAACTTCCAGCAATAACAACTAATGGATTGGACCCATTTAATTGTTTTTGGATTTATAGCATTAGGAATAACCGATGCTTAGGATCAGTATATCGTTTTCATTAATTAATTTTCTTTCTTTCTTTCTTTCTTTTTTGCAGTTGTTATGCCAATTCTGTATTACAGTGCTTGACCTGCACAAGACCTCTGACAATCTATTTGCTCCAGAGATCACATTCTAGAGCCTGTACTTGACTCTTTTCACATTTCCTTCCTGTTAGTGGTGATTATAGAAAATAATTTTTGTTTGGTTTCATTATAACGGCCTTGGTCTATGACATGAATGCTAGGTTGCGTGAAAGATTGGTGCCTTATGTGTGAACTCGAGCAACACGTAATGATGTTAAGAGAATGTGGGGGCCCTTTGTCTCTCGACAGAATTCTCTCACATATTCGAAGTATTAATCGCCATATTGGCGATGGAAGCCAGGAAGATGCACATGAATTTTTAAGGTCTGTATTGGTGATGAATTCTCTCTATTTACTAATTTCATTCTCCTCTTATATGATTTCTTCAATATGCTTGAAAAATATGAATTTGGACATTTGAACTGTTATGGCATGACTAAAATTATGCATATATATATATATATATTTGGGTATTTAATTTCTTAAATACCCTATGATATACTGTCTTTATGCAGGCTTCTAGTTACCTCAATGCAATCTATATGTTTGGGTGGAGAGAATGTGGTTGACCCCAGATTGCATGAAACAACCTTTATACAACATACTTTTGGGGGCCGTCTAAAATCAAAGGTGTTCATTGCTTGTGTGAACCTTATGATACGTAACATATCAACTTGTTTTTTTTTATTTTTTTATTTTTTGTGTAAGATATCTTTGTTATGTTGCTGTCATTCTTTTAATGTCTGCAATGATTTTTACTGTCAACCACATTGTAAGCAGGTTAAATGTTTGACATGTCACCATGAATCAGAACGATATGAAAACATTATGGATCTTACACTGGAAATATTTGGTTGGGTTGAGTCATTGGAAGATGCACTTACTCAGTTTACAACCCCGGAAGATTTGGATGGTGAAAACATGTATCGCTGCAGGAGGTTTGTTGACTTTAAATTTGTACTCAATATTCATAAGATTATGTAGATTCTGTGGTTTAAGCTCAATTAATTAACTCTTAAATTCTTAATCTGTTTTATTATAAAGGTGTGCTGCATATGTTCGAGCACAGAAACAGTTGAGCATATATGAGGCACCAAATATTTTGACAATCGTTCTGAAGAGATTTCAGGTTCTATCATCTTTTATAGGAGCGTACAGTCATCTTTATTTGTAGTCCTTTTCATTAAGACATTAAAGCTTTGTCTTAGAATATAATTATTTTGGTGTATCTTCAAACAAGTAGGATTTTTTCTTGGCATAAGGATCCTCTAGAGTGAAATCCTACATTGATCTCCTACAGTGATGCATGGATGGCTGAAACATGTCCCACTCAGCTTCCAAGGGCTGAGATGCAACTTGTTTTGGTGAGTAATTTGACAAATTTTTTTTTTCCAAATTTCAGAGACACAACACAGAGAGAGATGGCCATTGATTGTGTGTGGCATGATCATCCACTCCAACCCAGATCAATCCCAACAGACACATTTAGATGGCCACCAACGCCCTGCTGCAGCGGATTCATGAACACTGGAAGTGCAGAACACTCGACATGGACAAAAAACTCACAATCAACACAACCCAAATTGAACCCATAACCAAAATCACCACAAACATCGCAAAGAAATGACTCGAACCCATTTCGCGGAGCGACCGAAAATGCAAGAGGGTGGTGGTGGATTTCGAGTTTGAAATGATGGTGTTGAGAAGTGCAGTGGAGGTGGAGAGTGAAGGAACAGAGTGCGCAGTGGTAGGTGAAGCCAGAGCAAGGTGTTTGGCAATTGGTGCAGAGGATTTGGGGGTTGTTGTGGGGATTGGGAGGTGGATTGGGGTGGAGAGAGAGGGGGTGGGGGAGGTAGAGGGGGTGGAGAGTTTGGAGGGGAAGTTTGAGGCAAGAAATGTGGAGGAAGAAGGTGCAATCTGGACAGCGATAATGGTAACCTGATAAGGGTTGACAGCAAACGAAGGAGAGAGCTTGGGTGCCCGTTGGGATTGATCTGGGTTGGAGTGGATGATCATGCCACACACAATCAATGGCCATCTCTCTCTCTCTCTCTCTCTCTCTGTGTTGTGCCTGTGAAATCTGGAATTTTTTATTTTTTTATTTCAAATTACTCACCAAAACGACGTTTTGCTGAGGTTGCATCTCAGCCCTTGGAAGCTGAGTGGGACACGTGTCAGCCATCCATGCATCACTGTAGGAGATCAACGTAGGATTTCACTCTAGAGGATCCTTACTCTTTTTCTTGATTCGGTTGCTTACAAACTGTAAGTCACTTGCATAATAACCTAATCAACTCATTGACTTGAAAATGAACTTTTAATTCTTTTAGTGGGTAGCTACAATGACTTTAAAGGCTATATTTGGATGTCCATAATGAAATGGAGGGAATAGGAATCACATTACCAGCTATCTCATGGCTATAGGAATAAAATTATAGTGTCAATGCTATTCATGTGTTTGGCTTTGTTTTATCAAAAAATGAAAAAAATTTAGAAATTGTTGGCGTAAATATGTATTATTTGGGTAAATCGCACTTTTGATCCTTTCACCTGAATTTCATTTAGGTGCCTCATCTTTTAATTGCAACAATTAAGTCCTTAAGAGTTTAACCTGAGTTTCAATGTAGTCCTTTCACTTTGGTGCCCAAATATATATTTTATTTCCAGTTTCTGGACATGCGGTGGATTCTTCAACTTTGTATTTTTCTTTGGTAGGAGGGAAGTTATGGAAAGATAAATAAGTGCATTACTTTTCCTGACATGCTGGATATGGTCCCATTTATGTCCGGGACAGATGATATTCCTCCGCTTTACATGCTTTATGCTGTTGTTGTGCATTTGGATACACTGAACGCGTCTTTTTCTGGGCATTACATATCATATGTGAAAGATCTGCAAGGCAATTGGTTCAGGATAGACGACACTGAGGTAAGCCAGTTCAGCCTCATTTATATATCGTTGAATTAGTTGGGGGATAAATTTAGCACATCTTTTACATATGTGCCTATTTTCTTTTTCATGTTATTTTATTATCTGCTTTTGTTAGCAAAGATGAAAACCAGATCATTTTGCCTATGCCATCTTCAATTGACGGAATGACAGATATTGAGATGACAGATATTGAGACAGTGATTTTTGTTTTGTGGATGTGTTCAATGCTGAAACGTCACTTATAGTGGATCTGGCTTTCATCTGCTTTAGCCATATGTCAGGGGATCGGTTGATTTGGACTTTGCCCTGTAATTGCCCACAGTTTGGTGGGCCTTATGATCAATTAAACATTGCATCGCATTTTACACTTGTGATTGCCCAATTTATTGACATTTACTTTGATTTTTTTTTTTTTGATGAAACGGGTTTCTCAAGCTTCATATCATGCTTCACTGACAGGTCCAGCCAGTGCTAATGAGGCAGGTGATGTCAGAAGGAGCATATATCTTATTTTACATGAGGTAAGGATGTAGTTTGCGTTTAGGCATTCCCCATAGTTCCTCTCTCTTTTCAAGTTTTGCATTTTCCACTAGGGAATCATATATCTTTTTCTCGACAATTCGTGAATGAAACTACATTAACGTGGGATGCCACAATCTGGAACTGCAAATTTAAATTGGATTGGTTTCTGATTATTAGAATCCCCGTGACTTGACATTTCTTTAGCGTCAGATATACACTTATGTTTGTCAAATGCCATTGCAGGAAGCTTGTTGGTAGCTTTTGCAATGTTAATAATTGTTTTTAAATTCTTGCCCTCTCCAGACTCTGCTTTAACAAAAGCCTCGTGGGTTGCCCTTAGTAATTCTTATTGAATATTTTTCAAGTTTTGAAATGTTTGGTCGTTTGTAGGTCATCCCCCCGTCCTGCAAGATCTTGTTCTGGTAAAGTTACCCAGCATGAAGCTCAGAGGCCTTCAAGACCTGGACAAAGCAAATCCAGTGGCCACTTCGTCGGCAGCTCAGAACTTTCATCAAATCACACTTATAATGGGGTGCTTAAAAGTGTGAATAGAGATAGACCGCCAGAGTTTTCAGACGCTACGTCAAGTGATTGGTCCTCCATTTTTACAAGCTCAGATGAAGCATCTTTTACCACCGAGAGTACTAGAGACTCTTTTAGCACCATAGATTATGCTGATTCAATGGAAGCTTTCCTTTTTGACAGTAACTATGGCGTCAATGTAAAGTAAGGGAGTAACCAGAAAGATGGTTACTTGTAGAACTTTTGGTCATTGTATACAATAGTTTTTGTTTGTTTGTTTTTTTTTTTGGGGGAGGCGGGGAGGATTTTCGAGCTGATATGTGTTAGTTTAGTTAGAACAAGATGTACTTTCTATTTTCATTTTTCATTAATTTGTTGAATTGGGGCATAGGAATCAATATTTCAAATATGAAGGTGAACATTCTTGGTCCCTTTGGTACTACAATTACAAGTGTTCTACTTCCTGAATTTGTTGTTGGGCTCTACTTTTCAATTGGAGTCATGCTCCAAACCCAGAAATTTATGCCTACATAATTTTTAACATGTGGTTCAGATTTATTTTATATAGAGTCCATAATATACTTATACAACCTGCACCATTCATTTACATTCTGAGTGAATTCTGGTGTCCATTTTCTGGGTTCCCATACTAATCATTTCAAATGTGACAGTGAGTTTTTTTTTTTTTTAAAATCGGGAACCTTGTCCATCTTATTCTGGCTTTTTTTTTTTTTTTTTTTTTTTTGGTTTATATTGACTTTTTGGCTTTTAATTAAAATATAATGTGAAAAAAATAAAGTGCTTGGAAATGATATTTTGAATTTTTATGAAAAAACATACAAAAAAAAGTAGAGAATAAAAAATAAAAAAAAAAATTGGTATGATTTTTTTGATTCTTTGGCCTTTTGTCCTTTCTAGTAGTTTTTTTTTTTTTTGAGAGAATTACTTATTAGTTAGAAAGGAAAAAAAAAAAAAAAAGACACCAAAGGGTGTACGTGAGACATACACTCCTACAATTTTTTATTTGCATTACATCACACAATCACTTGCACTCCAATATTTTTGTATTTTTTTTTTCTCTATCAAACTATTAAGTAATTCTCCCTAGGCTTTTTTTAATTTATTTTTTATTTATTTATTAATGTGTGACTATTTTAGCATATTGTCAAACAACCCTTAGGCCTGGTTGGGTGCACTTTGTTTTAATTTATTTTATTTTTAATTTGATGGTTAAAAAGCAAAAATAAAAAAAAAAATCAATAATCAACTTATGTAAATTAATTTATCTAATAAGCAGAAATTAATAAATTTTCAAAATAAAAAGTTAACCAACAACGACCAACTTTACTGGTTGAGGTTGATTTTTCTAAAGCGTCCTATTAATAGGGGATCAGGACCTCTAGCGTTTCCCCCTCTAGCAATTAGGGGTGAGCAGTGGATATATCGATCTGCCAAAACCGACCGAACCGAACCGATCCGCCGCATTTTGGACGGATGCGTGATGACGAGCGGACGATTGCGGATTGATTTTCTCCAATCTGCCAATTTGGCGGACGGATGATAGATTTGAGATTTCTTTGGCCGTAACCGAACCGCCAAACCGCGAACACCCCTAATAATTTATAGGAATTTGTGTTTTCAGTTTGTTTAAATATTCTGTTTGTGTTTTTAATTAAAAAAGAGTTTAAATATTCTATTGAAAAAAAACTTGAATATCTTTTTTGAATTGAAAAAAATAAACGTATTATTTATCTATATTTTTTGGTTTTTAAATCTATCTCTAAAAATAATAAATAGAAAATATGATATATGCTGGTTGGTTTTTATTTTCAAAAATAGATATAGATGTAACAATACAGAGACATACAATCTCTACTACTGCTCTGTTCATGGTTTTGGTGGTTTGAATTGCTTTTATATTTTAAGAACTACAGATTGTAATACTTTATGTAGATAAGGCATGCAGTGATTGTAATATTTTTTTAAGTCATTAACTGTAATACTTTCTTCTTCTTCTTTTTTTGAGGAAATACACAAGTTGAATTATGTTGAAAATTTATAAAATTTTAAATCGCCAAACCGATTCGCATCCATCTGCCAAATCGTCAATCCGCTCAATCCACATCCGCCGGATTAGCGGATGGATGCGGATTGATTTTCTCCAATCCGCCAATCTAGCGGACGGATGGCGGATTGGAGGTTTCGTGACCGCAACCGACCCGCGCCCACCCCTACTAGCAATCTTCTAGCAGTTTCAATAAGCAACTGACACGTCACTTTTGAACAAATCCAACAGACAAAAGCAATACACGCAATACTTGCCAAAAGGATCACAACAGAACGACGTCGTTCAAGCCTTTCATCTTCTCATGAGCACAAGTAAATAGACAGATACATTTACATCGCCATTTCTCTCTATATACATATACACTAGGGGTTGTGCTTAAAATATAGATTTTAATTTTGAATTCATAATGACATGGGTAAGCTCATAAAGATTATAACCCACCATTTAGGACCCAGTACATAACTCAAATACTAAAACCCAGCATTACTGAGCAATAAGAACCAATGACATCAAGACACATGGCAAGAGAAGGACAAGTCACATAAACAGACAAAGATCTGCAAAATTATTGCTACTGCACATCGCCATTAATGAAGCCCCTTACAGCATTTATTGCGATAACCCCTCTCCGTCGGGACAGAACGCCTTTACCATGAACAAGGTAAGCTAGAGCATACACTTTCGGCCAAGGTGATAAGTCGGAAGGGATAACAAAATGATTACCAGAGGATATAAGCAGACGTCGAAGACAAGAAAAATGTTAAGCTTTCTAACTCCAATCTATCTTTACATTCCACCTCTCTCTCTAACTTGCTTGTCGGAGGGTTTGCTGGGGGACTCCCTGTTCCCCGTTGAACTCTTGTGCAGGTTCCTCTGTGGGCTTGGTCACTCGGATACCGGTTTGGGAAGCGTGGATTAGTTCGACCCGTTCCATCTGGAACCCGCAGTATTAACAGTTGGTGCCGTCTGTGGAAAAGTTTTTGTCCCGCGCCCCAGTTGTGCTCATTGTCGCTGGAGACCCTCTCCCCATAACCCCCTCCTACCACCTGTGGAGGTGAATGGTTACGACTAGATCCATGGCTTCTCACCCCAATGTTGCCGATCATCAAGCCGACCCTCATAATCCAAATAACCCACCACAGTATTTCACCGAGCTCACCAACAACATTAACCGCCTGGCCGAGCAAAATCAAGCCTTGATTAATGCTCTACTCCAAAGAAACCTTCCCATGCCTCCTCCACCACCTCCAGATATCCCACCCAACCAAGAACGAGCCCCGAGCCACACTATCCAGCAACCCCATCCCTCCAACTTGGAGGGGTTGCGACCACCCCCCCGAATATGAACCTACCACCCCGGGCCCCACATCCATCGGTCCATGCATCCACCCCCGAGAGAGAGGCCAGCAGTGACCAGCTCCCGTTCCCTTTCGACGGTGACAACGTCCCTTTCTGGGATGTAGAACTCCGAGCCATGAAGCTCCAGCTCCAAGGAGTCCTACAGAACATACCGAATAAACCATCCACCGCAGCCAACTCACAATTCGTTGCCTCAATCCGGGACAAACCTCTACCGCTACTCTTTTGACGGTACAACAGACCCAGTTGATCACTTGGAGACCTACCGGAGCCTCATGATCCTCCATGCATTCCCCGATGAAATCATGTGTCGGGCTTTCCGGGTGACACTCAAGGGGTCGGCTCGACTCTAGTTTAGTCAACTGCCAGCAGACTCTATCTCCACTTTCCAACATCTCAGTGACTCTTTTCTCAGCCATTTCATTGGAGCCCAATGCCAGCGACGTTCGGAAACCCAACTCCTCAACATCCGTCAGACTGAGGGGGAGTCGCTGCACAGCTTTGTCATCCGCTTCAACACCGAAGCCCTACAAGTGGCGGAAAACGATGACAAGGTCATTCTCACGACATTCATGGTCGGCCTACGATCATCTGATTTCCTTTTCTCCCTCTCAAAAAACCCCCCGACCTCCATGGCAACCCTTCTTTCCAAAGCCCAAAAATACATGAACACAGAAGATTCCCTAGCAGCTCGTCAGGACCCTACAGCCAAAAATCCGACCCCCAAAGAGAAGAAAAAGGACTCAGAAACCATAAACACCCAATACAATAGCCAAACACCTCAGTATACCGACCGACCCCCCAGAGCCGATCGGTCGGCACCAGCCCGACCGCCTGGCCGGTTCGAACGATACACACCCCTTAATTCCTCCATGGAAAAAGTCCTCAATCAGATCCAACGAGACTACCCCCTGAAATGGCCCCAACCATCACGGTTTCCTTCCAATTGGCGAGACTAGTCCAAATATTGCCGTTTTCACCAGGACCACGGTCATAATACTGAGGAGTGTGTTAACCTCAAAGATCAGGTCGAGGGCTTGATACGTCAGGGATGTCTCAGCCGGTTCACGGACACCCACCCTCAGCAAAGACAAAGGACTGAACCCATCAGAAACAACCGCCGGCGCACTTCTTCCCGGCAACTAGCATAACCTAACCCTGGCCATGATCGCCCTCCATAGCAACCCCGAGCACAAGGTAACCCCGCCTCTCCTGTCGGAGAAATTAGAGTCATAGCCGACAGGCTTGCTTGTGGAGGTCCATCCCGCTCAGCTCAGCGGGCAGAACTCAAAAAGATAAGATAGGGCTCAGACAAAGAAGTTGCTACATTAGATTGCCCTCCCAAACAGCCCAAGCAGTGGATGGAGCCTATCACCTTTACGGAAGCCGACTGCACAGACATCTGTTACCCCCATGACGATCCCCTCGTCATTTCTGCCCTCCTCTCCATTTGCAAAGTCAGACAGGTCCTTGTCGACAATGGCAGTTCTTCAGACATCATCTTTCTAAATGCCTTCCGCCAGCTCAAGATCGGGGAAGAAAGTTTGTCTCCTCTCCAAACCCCGTTGGTCAGTTTCACTGGAGACCGGGTGACCTCCATCGGCTCTATCGATCTTCCCATCACCATCGGAGAATACCCATGGCAGACCACCAAGTTGCTTACTTTTCTAGTCGTCGACTGTCCCTCCGCCTACAACATTATCCTCGGCCGCACCGCCCTAAATGCCTTCTAAGCTATTACATCCACTTTCCATCTTGCCATCAAGGTCCCCACCGATCTTCGGGTCGGCACGATCAGGGAAGAGCAGACTGTGGCCAGGGAATGTTATGTTGCCTCACTTAAAGAGGTCAAGCTC